AAATTATATTTGCATTTCAAAGTTTAATAAATTAATCACACTTTAAAGTTCCATTGCCCTAATTTTTCTTGCATTTCAAACAGTAACTTCCTAACTCCATACCTGACACATATCTATGTTTTTTAGGAAGAACAACAAGCATTTTTCTGTGAAAAAATACTGCCCAATTTAGTAATATTTCAAATACCATGATTCTATAAAGCCACGTAGGATTCTGCTTCCAAAATTAATTTTAATCTGTGAATATAATTTTATTCCATTAATCCTTCATTCCAACAATATCTTACTCTGATGGTTATTTAAACTTTGGTTGGTAATATTCTAATCAATTCCTAACTCCACAATTCCTGTAGGATTTGGTTTAGTTTAATTTTTAATTCTTATTTCATATATATGACTACATCTTATAATTAATATAAAATTATATTTTAATTAATTCAAATTAACTTGAATTGATTCTATACTTTAGATAAGATTTAAATGTTAGTTGGAAATATCCCAATAAATTCGTTACTCCACAATTCAAGTTAGATTTTTTTAATTTTTAATTTTTCATATATAAGTGGATTTTATAATCAACTAATGTCGGGATCATGGTGTTAAATTTTTTATTAAATTAAATTAAAACAAATCACTTTGAGTTATTGATTCTAAATTTTAAATTTTGAATCATATGTGACTGGTTGGATTCCAATAACTTCCTAGACTCCACGATTGATGTTTGATTGAATTGGGGGTTTTTCAAATTCAAGCATATTATTGCTATTTATAAAAAAATTATTAATGTAATTTATCTATAAAATTATCAATTTGGGAGCCAACTATAATAGATTAAATGAATATATTTTATTAAAAATAATATAATACCATGATCCCCATGTTACTTATTTGATTATAATATCATACCCTAATAATAATAGTGATCCCTACATTTTTGGAATTTAATTTAAGAAAGAATTTCCTAATAAATTCCTTCTAACGACTAAGATTTGGTGTGTATTTAAATTTTAAAAAGTTTTATAAAAAATTATACCCATGTCATTTTAATATTTATTAGAGATAATGCAATTATTATATCAACTTTAATTTATATAATTAATTAATTAACTGTTAATAAATGCTTTTTTCTATACATGTATTTACATTTCACAAGAATTGGGTAGTTACATATTTATTTGACTATATAAATTTAAAATTTTTTCATTTTTGAGTCAGTTATATATTTATTAAATGTGGTGCCTAATAATGATTAATCTTATTAAATATGGTTTTATATACTTCATTTATTTCTGATTGCATAATTTCTTTAACAAATATTTTTGACTATATAATGATATTATTTCTTGTCATCAATAAGTTATACATTTAAATAAAGTGGATTCCTTATGTTCCATTATCTCCCCTCTCTCATATAGTTGTAAACGTGGGTGCTTATGTGATCGTGTGGGTTGTTGGAGATAAGGATAGCAAGTCTCATATATAAAAACTGAGTGAGTACACTAATGATTGCAAGAACTTATTATTCTTCAATCCTCACCATGAATCCATCATTTTCTGACACTGATGAGTTATTCAAGAAAGCTGCCTTGCTTGCCATTGAATACTCCAAAGCAAGTCCTATATGGTGGTGTCCTCCCCCAGAATCTGTCGGCACTACCACTGTGAAGAGGTGCTTGAACCAGAGTCAAAGACAGTTTGAAAGCTCATCTCTTATAACATTTGATAGAGTGAAGAGTGAGGTAGTAGAAGCAAATGATGAACTTGACAATATTGGTGGTCTTATAGCATCTGATGGAGTGAAGAGTGAGGTGGTAGAAGCAAATGATGAACTTGACAATATTACTGGTCTTGTAGCATCTGATGGAATCAAGAGCGAGGTGGTAGAAGCAAGTGATGAATCTGCTGATGGTGGTAGTCCTACAACATGTGTTCCATTTAGGCGCTCTAAGAGAACCAAGAGTATGCCATTTTGGATGATTGACTATTATGTATATATGTGATGTATGTTTAAAATTTAATTTTAATTATGTTTTATTTGCAAATTATGTTTAGTAGGCTATCGAACATCTTGTAAGCGAACTCTTTGTGTGTGTAGGTTATATATTTCAATCTATTAATTTGGTTGATTTTGCTAGGTGTGTGAATGTCTATGCTAATATGCACTACAAATATATAATTTATGAGATATTTATTCCGTGAAATTAAAGCTTTTATTTTGTGCGTGCACATTATCATGATGGTTAATGGAGACATTGAGGGGATATGGGTCACACATTGAGACTTCATGGGTTAAGGAAGTTAACCTGACGTGGCACTTAAAAGCAGAAAAAAAGTTCAAGTTATGACGTAAATGTGCATTGAAAAATAAAAATCATGGAGAATATGGTTATATAAATATAAAAAATATATGTGTAAATAAAATAAAGAGATATATAATAACAGATATATTCATCTCAACAAACCATGAAATTTAATTAAAAAACATATTTTTGTTGGCAAAATTTAAACAAAATATATTTATTATAAATTAGTAATTTTAAATTTTAATCAAATTAACTGCCACGTTTTTTGATATTTTGCATTATTTTTAAAAATTTTATTAAATCATCATGGGCATCTTAGTAACCACCTTCGGAGATAATATGGCCATGTTGTGAGTTGGCTATTAGCCACACAAGCGCTTCTTCCTTTGTCTTCTTCTCCTTCTCTGGTATGTGTTCATTATAACCTTTTAACTACCATTTTGCCTTCCTTTATTCATTACTGTAGCATTAAGTTTGTATTTTCAACATGAATAAATGTGTGTTGGTAAAAAAAAAACATGAATAAATGTGAAATTTAAACTTTATGTACCAACACTTTTTTTTTGAAAAAAAAAATCATTTGGCTGGTTTTGATAATCATTTTCATCATTGTGTTGTTGCTACGTGTGAAGTAGAATTCTAAATGTTCAATGAATCCAAAAATTGCCTATAGTAACAAGCATCTAAGCTATTATATTAGATAATTGGAGGTATTCATCATTTAGCTTCTTTTATTTTGTATAATACTTTCTATGAATAACCTCTTCAATCCTATTAAATTGTAGCTTATGGAATTTTTTCTTGATAAAGATTATTATGCTATGTGTGTTATCACAGTTAAAATGGGTAAAAGGAAACAGATGAATGCATCTCTTGATTCTGCCTGCAACAAAGGTTAGTTTTCTATTTTAACCTTTTTCATAGATGGACATATATAAATATAATTTATGAATTAATTGAGAAATTATATTTTAAATTTTGAGATCATAGGAGAGAAGTTATATTTTCAAATTACCATCTTATTAATTGAGAAAAAAATAAATTGATTCACAAAATTGTGTTCTATTAATTCACACAATTATAATAACATCAGTATAAAAAATAACTAATAATTTAATTCAATTTTAATTTGACTATTGATATGATATAATTTTCAAGAAAATCATCTAAATTACTATTCACAAAATTATTATATAAATTCAAAATTATTCACGAAACGACAATATTCAGAAAGTTATATTTGAGATCAATATCGAGGATAAAGAAGGAAAGTGGTTTTTGGTAATTTTTAAAATAATAATTTTATATAGGAATAGGTATTATTTATATAGATATATTTAATATTTTTAAAATTAAAATTTTAAATTTTTCATTAATTGAGAAATTATATTTGAGATTTTGAGATCATGAGAGAGAAGTTATAGTTTCAAATTACAATCTTTTAAATTAAAAAAAATTATTTATTGGCATTCACTTGTCTTTTCCACACTTTTTTTTTTGGGGAAGTAAATAATTCTAAAGATAATGAAGATGTAATTAAAATATTACCTAAAATTAAATTGTAAAATGCTTTTTAATTTGCCAGATATTCTCTTCAGTCTAATGTCATATAAACGTGTCACACTTCACTATTGTTTTCTTTCTTTCTATGTTCAAGAATATCACGTATTTTATATCCCAACACTGCAAGCCATTACTTTTTTATCTTTTACAAATAAAGTATCTTTTCATAAATTTTAAATTGATACTGTCATATATGTTTTTGAACAATCCTGCCTTTTTTAGGCAATGCTCCTTTTAGAATTTTGATTTTTGTGACAAATTTCACCTTAATTTTTCAATTAGATCATTGAATATTCACTCGACAATTTTATCTTTAAATACTGAAAAAAGAAAAACATTGAGACTAAAATATTAATTTATCATTTGTTTTAATTTTAATGTTTGAATTTTTGAATTTAATTGCTGGGTATGACTAACTTTTCCATTTTAATCTTTCTTCACCTCAGAAAATATCACATCATCTAAAATTGCGAGACAACAACGGGTTTCTATCTTGAGAGAAAAAAGAAAGCAAACAACAAGGACATTTATTGCTAGGAATGGCATAACAAGTGAGGCCTTTGGCTTAAAACTTCCTTTCAAATCCTTTTGTATTATATCCTTCCTCCATCATATGCGTTCAACTAATTTATTTGAAATGTGAATATCTTGCACATTTGTATTTATACTTCTTCCTCTTCATCTTCTTTGATGTAAGATTCAGTGCAACCAATCAACAAGGGAAAACCTCCGACGAGCGTTTATAGCCACTCCCATAAAGTTCCCTTATACGATATCACTAATGGTAGGTTTCTTATAACAAGTTGGTATTTATAATTAACCTCGAAACTATAGAAAATTCACATTGCATAACATTTCATGCTCCAATAATGTGAAAATTTGTAAAGAATTAAAATATGCATTGTACTTTATTTGACTTTTGATGGTTCAACAATTGGGTTACATTACCTTAGTTAAATATGATTGAGATGTTTATTTTGAATGAAATTTTAATGTTATATATCTATTCATCCCTACTAATGTATCTGGATGAATTACAGTGCTTCAACATACATGCTCTACATCCAACACCCACAGACAATTTGGAGTTGAACCCCCTGTTAGTTGTAAGTGTTTGAGTACAAGCTTTAATAGTTGGTATTTGGTACGCATCAATTTTGTTAAATGTTTTCAATAATATACTATATATTCTGGAGGTTCATTCATGAGATGGGATTCTCATCAAGTTAATTTTTATGCAATGAGCTAATATTAATAGATCATTGAGTACACAAACTTTGCAATTAAATTTTCTTTCATGGACAATGGAAGTTAGTTGATTATTACGTGACAAATAATGTTAGAGCATGTTAATTGTCTAATTTTTTTTGACAGACAATCTATAAACATTTGATAATGTCCATAAAATCAAAGTTTAATATAGACATAATTTATTTTATTACTTTAATTTTTCAGCTCCTATTGATTTAGGCGACCAAGCATATCCATGTGTTCACTGTGGAGCTATTATGTGGATAAATGAACGACTTGAAAAAAATTGTTCTAACCTTCATCCAAAGTTTGGATTATGTTGTCTTCAAGGGAAGGTTGACTTGCCTAACCCAAAGCATGCTCCTTGGCAACTACAGAGGCTATTTCACTCCATAGATGATGATAGTAAGAATTTTCTTGATAATATTAGAGCATACAACATGATGTTTGCATTCACGTCCATGGGCGGAAAAGTTGATAAAAGAGTAAACAATGGTCGTGGTCCTTATGTGTATTGTATTAATGGCCAAAACATGCATATGATAGGCAGTGTTTTACCTGTTGAAGGAGCACCCCCTAAATTTTCTCAGTTATATATACATGACACTTCCAACGAGACAACAAATAGGATAGCTGCTGTAAGGTACTTTTGTTCTACACTTTTCAGTTTTGATTGCTTTTATAACTATATATAACCAAATTTTGATTCTAATTTTTTTGTCTTTTGTAATATAGTGGCCAAGACACAAAAAAATCTTTGCGGCCTTCTATTGTCCAACAATTGCAAAAAATATTGGACAATCACAATGAATTAGTTAAAACTTATAGACTTGCTCGAGATTTTATGGGGAATCATCAAGGTCAGGAAGTTAAGATTCGACTCATTCATAAGGGTGGTAAAAATGCTCATACATATAATTTGCCAACATCACCTAACGAAATAGCAGCCTTGGTTGTGGGAGACATTGGATCAACTGAACTTGGAAGAGATATTATTATTCAATATAGAAGTGGTTTGCTTGAGCGAATTTCTGAGACACACCAATCATATTTGCCAATGCAATACCCTCTATTATTTCCATATGGAGATGGAGGCTATACTGAAGGTATTCCACATAAGAAGACGCAACGAAAGATGAAAGGTGAGAGTGGAACTGTGTCACTTCGGGAATATTTTGCTTACAATATCCAAGATCGAGCATTGGATGGATCACTACTTTTATATGGCCGTAAATTATATCAACAATATTTGGTTGATGCATATACCATGATTGAGTCATATAGATTGAGATATATCAGGATGAACCAAAAAAAACTACGAGCAGAGGTTTATAATGGTTTAGCAGATGCAGTTTTTAGAGGTGATACTCAGGCTTCATTTGTAGGGAAACGAGTAATCCTTCCATCTTCTTTCACTGGTGGTGCCCGTTACACAATGCAAAACTACCAAGATGCAATGGCTATTTGTAGATGGGCTGGGTTTCCAGATTTGTTCATAACTTTTACAGCTAATCCAAAATGGCCTGAAATGACTAGATTTTTGGAAGCTCGTCAACTTCGTATAGAAGATCGTCCTGACATTGTCACACGTATATTTAAAATGAAGCTAGACTTGCTTATCAAAGATATTAGAAAAGAGGAAATTTTTGGAAGTGTCAAAGCAGGTATTACTCAAACTACATTAATAAGCTCCTTTTACTACTCTTATTTAGTTTACATATGCATTTGTAATATGCATGGTTTATTTCTATTTCTTTCTAATATTTGTTTTCATGTTTTTATGTTACAGTTCTATATACAATTGAATTTCAAAAGCGAGGTCTTCCCCATGCTCATATTTTGGTTTTCCTTGCAAATAAAGATAAGTTATCTACTGCTAAAGATATTGACAACATCATTTCAGCAGAAATCCCTAATAAAGAAGCACAACCTGAGTTACATGATGTAGTGGTGAATTATATGTTACATGGGCCATGTGGAATAGCTAATCCTCATTCTCCATGTATGGACAAAGGAATATGTACTAAGCAATTCCCAAAAAACTTTAACTCTACAACAGTGATCCATGAAGATGGATATCCAAGGTATAAAAGGGAAGATAATGGTGTACATGTCATGAAGAATGGGATCCCATTGGATAACAGATATGTTATCCCCTATAACGCAACTCTTTTACTAAAATATGGAGCTCACATTAATGTTGAAAGATGTAATCAAGGAGACTCCATTAAGTATCTTTTTAAATATGTTAATAAAGGTTATGATCGAGTTACTGCTGCATTCTATACTCAAGCAGATGATGTAAGTGAGGGTTTGGTTCGTGATGAGATCAAAATGTTTTTTGATTGTCGATATGTTTCGTCATGTGAATCAGTTTGGAGGATCTTAGGGTTCGATATTAATTATAGAAATCCCTCTGTTGAAAGACTATCATTTCACTTGCCTAATCATCAAATGGTGGTATTTGAGGAGAATGAAGATCTTCAACATGTTATGTCTAGAAATAATGGGAAACCGACTATGTTTGAAGCTTGGTTCATTGCTAATGCTAAATATGAAAATGCCAAAGGTTTAACTTACTCAGAGTTCCCTATGAAATTTACATATCACAAAGATACTTGTGAATGGACACCAAGAAAAAAAGGATTTTCCATCGGAAGGATGTATTACACACCACCAGGCAGTGGTGAGTCATACTACTTGCGCATGCTTCTTGCAACCATTAAAGGCCCAACCTCTTACAAATCCCTTCGTACAGTGAATGGTATCTACCATAATTCATTCAGAGATGCATGTTATGCTTTAGGATTGTTAGATGATGATAAAGAGTATACTGATGGGATACTTGAAGCAGCTCAATGGGCCTCAGCCAACTATCTGAGACGGTTGTTTTCGACCTTATTAGCCTGTAACTGTTTATCACGTCCAGAGTTTATATGGAGACAAATTTGGAAACCATTGTCTAATGACATATTGTATCAACAGAGACAAATAACAGGACACCAAGGTAAATGTGTACATATTATTACCTGTATCTTATCTTTACAATTCATATTTCTTTGTCTTTAATTTTACTTTATGAAATGCTATTAAAAATACAACATTTTACATACTTCTAACTATTTAAGTCCATTAGGTTTTCAGTTATCTGATGAGGAGTTGCAAAATTTAACCTTGCTTGAGATTGAGAAGCTCTTGAATGTAAATGCAAGGACATTATCTGAGTTTGGTTCTATGCCTTTGCCACAGTCATCTGTTATGGAATTAAGGAGCAACAAACTTATACGTATGGAGTTGAGCTATGACAAAAAATTATTATCATCAGAATTAATTTGTTTGTTGAACAATTTGACTCCTGAACAGAAGAAAATATATGACCAAGTGTTATCTACAGTCAAAAGTAATAATGGTGGCATGTACTTTGTTTATGGCCATGGTGGAACTGGAAAAACATATTTATGGAATACATTGAGCACCTCCTTACGTTCTGAGGGAAAGATTGTTTTGAACGTAGCTTCAAGTGGTATTGCCTCATTATTATTGCCAGGAGGTAAAACTGCTCATTCTCAATTTCGCATTCCAATTGCAGTTAATGAAGATTCAATTTGTAATATAAAACATGGTAGTCATCTTAGTGAACTGCTTATCAACACTTCCCTAATAATATGGGATGAAGCACCCATGGCCAATAAATTTTGTTTTGAGGCTCTTGATAAGTCTCTGAGAGATATCATGAAAGTTCAACAAGTAGATGCTGCGTTAAGGCCCTTTGGTGGCAAAGTTATTTTGCTTGGTGGTGACTTTCGACAAATTCTTCCAGTTGTGCGAAAAGGTAGTAGAGAGGATATTGTATTTTCTACAATCACTTCTTCATATTTATGGAAAGATTGTAAGGTTTTTACATTGACTAAAAATATGAGACTATTGACTAATGCAACATCTAAAGATGCAATGAGAGTTCAAGAATTTGCAAACTGGATTATCTCAATTGGTGATGGAAAAGTTGACAACAACCATAAAGAAGCAGAAGAAATTACAATTCCAGATGAGTTATTGTTAAACCCTACTCAAGATCCTCTTAGGTGTATTATTGATTCCACTTATCCAGAACTGCTACAGAATATACATAGTGCATGTTATTTCCAGGAGCGTGCTATCTTAGCTCCAACATTAGCAATTGTTGATGAAGTCAATGAATATGTTTTATCCATGCTCCCTGGTGATGAAGTTTGCTACTTAAGCGCAGACACAGTTTCTAAACAAGATGAAATAGGAGGTGCTTTACAAGATATTCACTCGCCAGAATTCTTGAATTCATTAACAATGTCAGGACTACCTAACCATGAAATCAAGCTTAAAGTAGGGGCTCCTATTATGCTTATGCGAAATATCGACAAATCTATTGGTCTTTGTAACGGCACTCGATTAATTGTCAGTAAACTTGTCAGACATGTCATTGAAGCTGAGATCATGACAGGAATCTCAAAAGGTCAAAAAGTTTTAATTCCTCGAATGACTATTACTCCATCAGATACAAGTTTACCTTTCACAATATGCAGACGCCAATTCCCTATTATGTTGTCCTTTGCAATGACGATTAATAAAAGCCAAGGACAGAGTCTCACAAATGTTGGATTGTACCTCCCACGACCTGTATTTACACATGGTCAGTTGTACGTTGCTATATCTCGAGTTCGTAGCAGATGTGGCTTGAAGATTTTAATTCTAGATGAAGAGGGTAAACCAACAAACAAAACCAACAATGTTGTTTATAAAGAAATCTTTAATGGTTTGACATAGATTCATATATAAGGTACATGCTCGATATAAACCTTGCCTCTTATCTATCATCTATTAGTGACTCATCGTTAAATAATATATCATAAAACTTTATATATAATTATTTTATAGTACGTTTTCTTATATTTGCTAATTGTTCCTTTTCAAATATTCAAAATTAACTTGCCAATTATGTTCTTTTATTCATATTCTTCCTTATATTTAACATCCACATAAAATTTCATCATTTGTTTCAGGAATATTTTACCAAGTTTTGCTGGTATTTATGGCTAGAGCTGTGTTCAGGTATTACATGGATTTTATTATCTATGATTGAACAACTCATTGATGAAAAAAAGCACACCTTCATTTACCTCCCTCCTATATATACATATATATATATATATATATATATTACCTCATGTTTAAATGAATTGTTGAACATTTATTCCTGTTAGATATATTGCATATTATATTAGATGTATTTCATTTGTGTATGTTATGATTTCATGCCTATATCTTTTGTAGTACACTCACATCTATTATATTTAGAAAATGTTTTCTACATGTATATTTAAATAAATGCATGTGTATATGTGTTGATTGAGTACTGATGTAATTCCAATTTTAAGTATGGTCAAAAACTAAATATAATCACTTCTCTCAATAGGAATTTGAATCTTGATTCATCACATTTTGAATTCATTTATATTGCAATTTTTTTATTATTGCAATACCATCATATATTTTAATTATTTTAAAATATATTTCTTATTATAACTTTATTTAAATAACTCATTTAGTAATACAAGTTAAATTAAAAATTATTATAATTCTTATAAGAGGACCCGTGCATTGCACGGGTGAAACACTAGTTATGTAATAACATTGCTTTAATTAAAATGTAAAAATATTCAATGTTTCTTTTAAAAAACTTTTATGACATTTTATCTTTTAACCTTTTTTTATTAATTGAGAGGTGTGGCATGTAATAGGTAATTATTTGATTAATTGAGAGATGAAGAGAATAATTGAACAAACTAATTCAATAAATAAATAACTGGTAAATATATTGTGGAAATTGGCTCATTTTTTAAGTGAATACATGCCCCCATTCCTATTAGAGATGTTCATTAGCATGGACATTAATCTCTCATCCAAAAATAGGATAATTGAAAAAAAATTAAAGGATACACATTTAAAGTATTGATAACGTATTATAAAAATAAATAAAGATTTAGAGGAGAAGAGAAGAGAATTGGAAGAAAAGAATAAAAGAATGATGGGGGAGATTTGTTTTTTAATCTTTGTGTGTAAAACATAATTGAGTTACATTTTATTTATAAGCACAAATATAACCAATTAAATCAAATAAAAGATACAAAATGATAATAACTTAAAGTAGCTGAAAAGATATAAGGGATACTAAAAAATACGGACATCCACGTAATCTTTTAAATTATTCATAACAAAAATATGAAATACTAAAATATAATTTAAAATGTTAAATTAAAATATTTAATAATAACATCTCAACAATAATTTTATCTTGAAACTAACACACTCAATTTACGCATCGAACCTTAATCACAAGCATCATGCGTGAACTATCAACTATGTCATGACCAAGGAAACTGGGAATATATTTGACAAAAAAAAAAAAAAAACTGCGAATATGTCATGGTCCTCGCGGACATTAACTCCAGGGGGTAAACGTAAATATCAGCGAAGAAAAAACTAAAACAGGTAAATACATAATAAAAGATTTAACTGTTGCGGATCGCTAATTCCAATTTGTTGTTATTATTTTCACACGTCGTCGTTTCACTGAACTTGTTCTTTCTGTACCTTAAGAGATAAAGCAAACCTGAAGCCGCTAGTATAACGACACCTGTAACACCACACACCAAGCTGGCCACAATTAGAGCGTCCCTCACGTGATCTCTATGGCGACCGCCTCCGGCGTCGCCGGTCCACCATGACGATGACGGGGAATCACTCGTATTCATAGCTTTCGGCAATGCCATACCAGAAGAGGTCGACGATTCCGACGACGAGTTCTGTCCGTTGAAGAACGACATCATCTCCGGTGGATAGTTCACTCCTCCCGACGCCGACGGCGGTGAGTCCTGAAAGACAAGGCCATGATCTGACGGCCGGAGCTCCCTCGCCACTGATTCTCCGGTAAGCATTAATGCGATCACTGCTAGTGGCGCGTAGGCGACAACGACGAGGAATTCACCTGGAGACGCCATAAAGTTTTGGGATCTGTGCAATGAAAATTATGCTTTACTTTCGTTTACGGAGGCTGGGCGAGAGGCAATATATAAGGTGATCAACACAACTCCGATCCGTGTCTAGGAAAAAGGTCTCATATCGCCGCTTGTCCTTTGTCTTTTACTGCTTCCAGTCCAAAATATATGCTTTAAAATATAAATTACAAATAATCTCATACATATAAATTTTTTTTTACCACTTTATCTTTTTTATGTATTAACTTAAATACTTTTGTAAATATATTTTTCACTCGTTATAGATTGTATGGATAATTAAAATTAGGATTAAAAAAAATATATTTTTTTAGGAATAAAGATTTTATAGTATGTGAATTTTTCCCAAAATCTCTTTAGATTTTGAATTGGAAAGGATACATTCTTTATCTTATATTATGTTTTTTTTCTGTTATTTAGATTTCAAAATGAAAAATAAAATAGAGTTATGCTTTACATCTCACTTTTCTTTCATAAAAAAATAGAAACATAAATATGTAAATGATTCTCTAGAGAAAAATCTGTAAAAACTCACCTTTTCAAGCAAAATAAATTCCCTAAAATACACAATAGCTTAAACTAGTGACCACATAAAATTTTGGGAGAATATTAGTAAAAGACTCCTAATTTAATATCTAACAGGTAAATATTAACAAATTAATAAATAAAGTTACCATTTTAAAAATATCCAATCTAATTAAAGTCCTTGACAGATATTAAATTCTCTCAGGGTATTGGCATCCCTCCTCCCCTACTCCTCATAGGCTTTTCACCCTTGAATCTCAATTTCAATTGTTGAGATTAAATAATAAATAAATAATATATTATAAAATTTAACAACATACATTTATTAATAAGATATTTATTATTTGATATAATAATAATGATAATAATTTTATAATACAATGAATCTCAACTATTGAAATTGAAATCCTAGGGTGGAGAAGCTGGGAGGAGGTAAGCCAATTCGAATTTTTTCTGAAATCTTTTATTAATATTCTCCTAAAAATTTATGGTATGAATTTCAAAAGAGAAAAGAAAAATCATGATATTAGTTAATACTGCCTCCATATCAATTTATTACTTTTTAGCCAAAATCATGTATATTAATAAATCTTATTAAACATATTTTATTATTTTATTTTTTAAAATAAAAATGCAAACTTTTAAAACGCCCTTTATTCAATACTTTATTTGTGAAAAAATTAAAGAGAAAATAAATACAATGAGAGAATAATGATATGAAAAAAAATTATTAATAAAACATTTTTTGACAGTATATTATTTTATATTTTAAAATATTGAATCTCTCTAAAAATATGTTATAAATTAGGATAAAAAGAGCAAATGTTTAGTATTAGGATTTTGTTAGAAAATGTTTGAGTGGGCACCACCAAACTAACCAAAGTCTACAACACATGATGCCAAACTTTTATATATAAAAGCTCAACATCTCAATCTAAATGTAAATTATGTCACCGACAATGTTTTTGGGGTTTTTTCTTTATCTTGGGCTGAGTATGTCTATAAAAATACTTAGGTCTCTCTGTCAGTTGGGTAGGATCTAAATCACAATCGCGGTTTTTTTGTAAGGAGACAAGGTTGTGCCAAAAAAGTGCAGAGTTGCGGCGGGGGATTACTTTCTCATCAAAGGCATGATGAACTCGGCATAATGTCTCAAATTTCACATGATTGGAGATGGGTAATTTATAATATGGTGGTAGCAAAAACAGGATGAAATATTGAAAGGTACATACACACACGCACGCACGCGCCCACACAGACAGAGAGAGAGAGAGAGAGAGAGAGAGAGAGAAGATGGAATAGGCTTCAGAGATTTTTATACTCTTTACATGACTTATTATCCGATGCTAATGATTAAGTTAAAAATCCGAAGAGAAATTTATTTTCCAGATTCATGATTTCTTTATAGCAATAAATAAGGGGTCGCCAAGTTCATGGGTTCTATCTAGGCAGAATGATAATTAAGTTTTGGAAATTAATGATATTTAGGTCCCTAGTAGATTTTTTAAAGAAAAATCAGTTGTACATATATATTCAAACATTTGCAAATTTAAAAGTTTTAATTATAAATATGATATTTAAATTTTAAATATAACAATTAGTTTATAATTTGAATTCATATTTATAAGTATTTGAATTAATATTTATAATTTATTTTATAAAAAAATTTATCAAGAACTTAATTATTATTAATTTATTCTCCTTCCTGTCTATCATAAGGGGAAGCATATCCCCTCCCCGTCTTCCTCCTATGCGTCCCTCCACTGCACCATTTTCTCCCCTTTTCATCCTATCTCCACCTATAGATGATTAGATAAGAAATGTCCAGACTAATTTGAACCCTTTTGTATGGAATGGTATTACTAATTGTATCTTCACGTTTGTTTTGAGAATGCTTTTATTATATTTATTTAATATGATTGCATATCTCAAGGTTCAAACTCAAGATCACATGATAAGTTGATTTAAGTGCCTCTAGGTAAAATAAACAAATAATTTTAAACTATTAAAATTTCACCTACACAATGTGTAACTGCAATAAATTAAAATAAACAAATCAACAAATTTAATTTACGAAAACTTTAATAATGATACATAAATGTGAATTGTGCATGTCAAATTTTAACAATTTAAATTTATTTATTTGTTTGTTTAAATTTATTTATTTTTATATGATAATTATTTAAAAAAATTAAATCTGTTGATAAAAATAATTAAATCTGGACCATTTATTTTATTATTTAAGGGTATATATGAGATGAGGAGAAGAAAATGAGAGTGGATTATGAGAGGATTCGAACCCATCATAGGGACAAGATATATTTCTATTTTTATTTTTAATTTTGATTATAAGGGACAAAATTTTATTGACCTATCACCTATACATGTTAACAATATTTATACTGTGGCTGGGGATCGATGTCCGAGGATCCCTTCTTTTTCGAGATCATTATACTCTCCCTCTTGTGAGGCTTAGCGGACAATGTTTTTCTTGTTGCCTATAGGAGAATATTAACTATCAGGGAAAAAAAAAAAACAAATCTAATACAGTTGCAAACAAGGAACAAAAGCAATTACTAGAGAATTTGTCAAACATAATGCAAGAAAATATAAGGTAGTAAAAATCGAAAGGGGAAGATCTTGATGAAGCTCAATCAGGATGGACACGGAGGCTTTGAGGCTCGACTTGAGACTTCTCTTGAGATCCACTAAAAGCAAACACATGTTTAGTGATTGACCGAGGTTATAAAAATATAATCCATAAACGTTGAACACTTCTACCTTGGACAGAAAGCTTGACGATTTGCAGATTCAACCAATTAATTTGAAATAAAACAACAATATATATCAGAATCACAAAACATCCCATAGTATATAGCATGCCAATGCAAGGGGATAAATATGACTTTAGCTTCACAGATAATTAAACCAAATTTTTTCACAAAAATAACACTGAATTGATCATTCAAAGCGGAATCCATCTTGGATCATCTTTTATTCTTTTACCATTGATTCTAAATAATTAAATTGACAAAAGCAAAGCATAGACTAGACAGCGCAAAAGTACTCAAATAAAAATTGAAAGTCATCCCAGCCATAAAGTGGAATCAGGCAATCTTACATATGCTTCTTGTAACACCTTAACTCCAACATAAGAAAAAAAAAACATATATTTATTACATATTCTTAAAATACAGGCAGTTGAGATCCCAAAAATATTATCAATTGGACTTTGACCAACTCAAGGTCCAAAAAATTCACCACAAATAATCTGAAAATCAATTAAGTGAACTCAATAAAACGTAACAGGGTTCAACTTAAAAAATCTAAATAAAACATTTATTGGAAGTTTATCTAGAGAACTTAAAAAATACCACAATTTATTGAATAAATTCAAATCCAAAGAAATAATTAACTAAAATAAGTTGTCCTTGGCCAAGGCAATAATCGAACACTAAACAGGACATATGTGATACCTATAGGTATCAAATGAGCCATCACTCAATTCCTTGATGCCTTTGGAGACCTACTAGCTAGAGCTCACACTTAAAAATATTAAGAGATATTCCTCTAGTCCTATTTATAGAGCAAATGAAGAAGATTAATTTTGATCATATTTATAGGATATTTTACTATTTTGTATTTTCATCTTTACTTTTCAGCCCTTATTAGATACTGGGAAAAATTATTAAAAATAACTAGCATATACTCCTCCATGCGTGGCATGGGACGTATATACTTATGCAATGTTTGGATACATATAAATTTGGATTTGAGCCAAATCCATTGTTTATGTAATTAAAAATACATGGGTTTGGATTCCAAATTCTACCTTAATTTCTTTATAAATTGAAATCCTTTCTAAATCCCTATTATTTCAAATCCTAACTCAATGTCTTTTGTAATTTGACCAAAATCCACGAACGCTTGATCATCCTACCAATGGCAACAAGATCGGATGGTCGAAGGTTATGGAACCAAGATGCCATCATCAATCGGGACTGGACTACTATTGCTAACTAAGACTGCATTGCCAGCACCAACTGGGACAAGATGGCTTACTTCTATTAGGATTGAATCGCCTGCGCTAGTAGGGAACAAAGTGCATTCGATGACCTAAACCAGACAATTGACTTTCATTGAGATTAGACCACCAGTGATGATCTAGATAGGCCTTTGACTTCCATTCAAATTTCACTAGGATCAGGACTAGACTGACGATGAGGACTGAGACCAAGTGACCTGTGATGATTGGGATCGGATGACCTCTTGTGATCAGGATTGGATCACCAATGCTGAGCATGATCTAATCGCCAATGGTATGATCTCAGTAGAAATCGCTTGTTCGATCCTAGTCAAAGTTGTCCACCCATCACAGTGGGAGCCAGTTATTCAATCCTAGTTGCAATAGCAATTCAATGCTGGTTGGCAATGACAATCAAGACTCGATCACCTCTCAATTGAATTTAGTCCCTATCATCACATTTAGTTCGGTCCCATGGAAGTCAGTTGTTCAATCTCTAGTCATCACCATTAGTTCAATCTCGGTGGAAGTTGGCTGCCTAATCTTGG